TTTTTTTTTTCCTTGATACCTGGGAAACCGCTGCCCCCCTCAGAACTAACCAAAGACAATGGTTCACTGTGCAGGCTGCAAAAGGCCGATCTTGGACCGGTTTTTGTTGAATGTACTGGACAGGGCTTGGCATGTGAAGTGTGTTCAGTGCTGTGAATGTAAATGCAATTTGACAGAGAAATGCTTTTCGCGAGAAGGCAAGCTTTACTGCAAAAACGACTTCTTTCGGTGAGTACCGGCCTCCGCCTGCCCCCGCCGCTCCTCTCCGGTCGTTTCTCACCTCCATTTTTTCCCTTTATTTTCGTTGTTTTCCCCGTTGCCAGCGGGACCCACAGGGGCCTCTCCCCTCCCCGAGACACGCGAAGGTCTCAAATCGCGGCTGCTTCTCCCGGTGCTCCCGGGGCAGGGGACGGGCGGGGGTCGGGCCCGGGCCCGCTGCTGCCGCCGCTCTCCGCGTCCGCCGGCCGAGCTCGAGTTGCCCAAAGTTCCCTCCAAACTCTGGAGCGGCGGGCCCGGCCCGGGCCAGCACGGCCACTGTCCCGGGCCCGGTGCAGCGGAGCGGGGTGACCCCGCCGGGGCTCTCCGCGGCCGTGAGCCCGGCCTTGTTCCCGGTGCCGCCCGGCGGGGCAGGCACGGTGCGGCGCTCCGCGGGCCCAGCGCATCCCGTGCACCGGAGCCAGGCCGGCCCGAGGGCGGCGGCCCTTGCCCGCTGGAAGGATGGATGGATGGATGGAGAGGGAAAGGGTGACCGACGCTCGCTCGCCGCCGCTCTCCCCCCGGCCCGCTGCGGCGCCGGCATCAATCCCGGGCTCGGAGCGGCCGCCGGTCCCGCCGCCGCACACCGGCGATAAGGGCAAGGATTGACTCGGGGCCGGGGAGGCCGCGGAGCCCCCGCCGTACACCGGCACAGCGCCCGGGCCGGCCCCGAGCCCCGCCGCCGCTTCTCCCCGGGAACGGGGACGGGCACTGCCCCGAGCTCCGCCGCTTCTCCCCGGGAACGGGCCCGGCGCTGCTCCGGTGCCGGCTCCCGGAGCCCCGCGGGGCTGAGCGGGGCACCGGAGGCCTCCGGCCCCGCTGTCCCCCGGCTGCCCGCGCCGGCCTTGCCCGCACCGGCGGCTGCTCCAGCCGGAGCGCGGCCGGGGCCGGTACCGGCACACAGAACGCGCAGGATTTCTGCGAGCCGCTTGTCAGAGCGCCTAACGCGGGTGTCGGGGCGCGGGGACACCGGGCAGCGCAGCCCCGGCGTTCGGCGGTCCCGAGCCGTGCCCGGGCCGGCCTTGATTTTCCTTTTTCAAAGCTATAGTACCGGGAGGAGAGAGCGCTCTGCGGGGATGCTGGGTTTGATGTAAGCCCGTTCCCCGCGGCCGGGCCGCGCTCGGCGGGCGCTGCTGACCGCTGCCCGGCCTCTCCCCGCAGGTGTTTCGGGACCAAGTGCGCGGGCTGTGCCCAGGGCATCTCCCCCAGCGACCTGGTCCGCCGGGCGCGGAGCAAAGTGTTCCACTTGAACTGTTTTACGTGTATGATGTGTAACAAGCAACTCTCCACCGGCGAGGAGCTCTACATCATAGACGAGAACAAGTTTGTCTGCAAAGAAGATTACCTAAATAACAGCAATACTGCCAAAGAAAACAGCCTGCATTCAGGTGAGGGAGCGCGGCCGGGGCGATGAGGGCAGGGATGCGCTCAGCACCGGCTGCTCCTTGGGATGAGACGCTCCTCTCCTTCCTCCTTCTCTTCTTTCTTCTGTCTTCTCCTTTCTCTCCTCTCCCTTGTCTTCCTCTCTCTTCTCCCTTCACTCTCTTATCTCTTTATTTTCCTCTCCTTCTTGTCTCCCTTTTTTCCCTTCTTTTTCCCTTTTTCGTCTCCCTTCTTTCTCCTCTCCCCCGGTCCTATCGCGGGCCGTCCCTCGCGGTCGGTGTTTCCCCCCGGCTGAGCATGACCTGGGTTTGTTCCCCCCAGCCACCACCGGCAGTGACCCCAGCCTGTCCCCGGACTCTCAAGACCCCTCCCAGGACGACGCCAAGGACTCGGAAAGCGCCAACGTGTCCGACAAGGAGACGGGGAGCAACGAAAACGACGACCAGAACCTGGGGGCCAAGCGGCGGGGACCCCGCACCACCATCAAAGCCAAACAGCTAGAGACTCTGAAAGCCGCCTTCGCGGCCACCCCAAAACCCACCCGGCACATCAGGGAGCAGCTGGCGCAGGAGACCGGCCTCAACATGCGGGTCATCCAGGTACCGCCGCCTCCGGGCACCGGGCACGGCTCCGGGGGATGCGGGGGCGAGGAGGGGCGGGAGCCCGGCACCCTCCGCGCTGCGGGGCCCGGGGAAGCCCCGCCAGCCTTTGAAATCGTTATTAGCGAGGCTTCCCGGGGCTTCCCGGGGCTTCCCGGGGCTTCCCGGGGCTTCCCGGTGCTTCCCGGTGCTTCCCCAGCCCCGGCCGGTCCGCGGGGACAGAGCCGCGGGTTTCTTCGTCCTAGAAAAGTCCTAAAGAAGCTGCAAACACTATCGAAATTAATAACCAGAAATGTGAGGGGTTAATGGGTAAATAAGAATGACAACGCGCTGGAATTATTAAAAGGTTTATAAACCCGCAGCGCTGGGGTAATGGGGGGTTAAAGGACCATTAAAGACGAGGTTAGATTGGAGAGGCTCAGTGTGAGGGTAATTAGCAGTAATCTTGTCAGGGTAATAAGAATTAACTCGATCATTCTTGACCTGCACTCGGTGGGGAGCGGGGCCGCCGTCACGCGTGGGTTCGGCCGCGCCTGGAGCGCGGCTCGGTGCGCACCGGGCACGAGAGCCTGGGAAAGGGGGAAAGGAAAGGGGGAAAGGAAAGGAGAAAAGGAAAGGAGAAAAGGAAAGGAGAAAAGGAAGGGGGAAAGGAAAGGGGGAAAGGAAAGGGGAACAGGAAAGGGGGAAAGGAAAGGAGAAAAGGAAAGGGGGAAAGGAAAGGGGAACAGGAAAGGGGAACAGGAAAGGGGAACAGGAAAGGGGAAAAGCGCGGCCCGGGATGGGGATGGGGATGGAAGGGAAGGGGGGACCCGCGGCTCCCGTGACCGGCGCTCTCCCGCCGCCCCGGCAGGTGTGGTTCCAGAACCGGCGCTCCAAGGAGCGGCGGATGAAGCAGCTGAGCGCGCTGGGCGCCCGGCGACACGCGTTCTTCCGCAGCCCGCGCAGGATGCGGCCGCTCGTGGACCGGCTGGAGCCCGGCGAGCTCATCCCCAACGGGCCCTTCTCCTTCTACGGAGGTGGGTACCGCTCCCCCGCTGCCTCTCTCCGTGCCGGGCTCCGGGCGGCTCTGGCCGTGCCTCCCGGTTCCCCGCCGCCCATCGCGGGGCTCCCGCATCCGGGGGCGGCCGTCGCCGCGCCGCCGGCGGGATCCCGGCGTTCTCCCGTTGTTCCCCCGGTGTTTCGGGAGCGCCGCTTCGTGTCGGCGTCCCCGGCGCTCCGCGGGAAGGGGGTCCCGGGGCTGCCGGAGCCCGGCCAGCCCGGTCACGCGTCTCCCCTGGGGTCCGTGGGTGGCACCCCGAGCCCCCCCAGCCGCGCCGTGCCCACTCGGGTACCTGCCCGCCTGTTACCTTCCCTCTGTCTCTCTTTGTCCGCCAGATTACCAGAGCGAGTATTACGGCCCTGGAAGCAATTACGATTTCTTCCCGCAAGGACCGCCCTCGTCTCAAGCGCAGACCCCCGTGGATCTCCCGTTCGTGCCCTCCTCGGGGCCGTCAGGGACCCCGCTGGGGGCCATGGACCACCCCCTGCCCGGACATCACCCCTCGAGTGAGGCTCAGCGCTTCACCGACATCATGTCGCACCCCCCGGGAGACTCGCCCAGCCCCGAACCCAACCTGCCCGGGTCCTTGCACTCCATGTCCGCGGAAGTTTTTGGGCCCAGCCCCCCATTTTCGTCGATATCCGTCAACGGTGGTGCTAACTACGGCAATCACTTGTCCCACCCTCCAGAGATGAACGAAGCGGCTGTGTGGTAGCTTTAAACAAACTGGGTCTAAGTAAGTGATGATCATCTAGTCTGCTTATTGTTATGGTGTACAGAAATGAGTTCATATAACATCTCTCCCGCCCTAAGACAATTTTACCTTGGGAACGAACTGAATCCGATCGCTCCAAGGCAAGCTTTGCTCTAGACCAGGACAATCTCCATGTTATGGTTGTATCAAACAAGCAAGGGGACTTTTTTGTACCATTGACAAAGGAACTGGGGAAGCTGTACAGTAAAAGTGCTGCCATTCCGTAGGATGGCGTAAGTTTGATTACCCTGTCGGATGTCATCCTAAGAGCCACAATCCTTAGAAACTTCTCGTTTAAAAAAAAAAAAAAATTAAAAATAATTGAATGAAGGAGAGGTCAAAGAAAAGGGGAAAAAAAGCTTCAAGAACTCTCTATAGCGTTCCTGGTTAAGGATGGTTCTGGCATTATGAATCTGTTTGTTCATTTTTGTCTCTCAGAAAGTTCGACAACAAGATACTCTTTTTAGCTTCAACCATTTCAGCCTGCTGACGATCAGGTGGGACAACTTTTCCTTTTTCCTTTCTTTTTTTTTTTTTTTTTTCTTTTCTGTTTTGTTTCGGTTGTTTTGCTTTGTTGGATTTTTTTTTGTTTGTTTGTTTATTGTTGTTTTTTTTCCAAAAATAGCAAATACTAAATGTTAAGCCCTCAGCACCAACTCTTCTACCTTCACAAAGCTACACGTACAAAACCTCCTCATCATAGCAAAGGTCACCACCCAGACCTCTAACGAAAATGACTTGAAAAAACAAACAAACAAACAAAAAGTATTCTACCTTCACAGAGAGAGAAAAGCTAAACAAAAAGACTCTATTGAACTAAAAACAGTCAACTGTTTACGTCTAATGTTAAATTCAGGAGCTCAATGTTTTACTAACAAATCCTGTTTTAGAAAAACCTCTTGTTCAAAAGCAAAAGATTTTGAGCAGCCAACCAAAATAGTTCATTTTCTTTTCTGTAGATGTTCTAACAGATTGCAGGGCTTGTGGTTCACTGTGCTAGTTTGTAAAAGGTGTTGTTTACAGAAGGCAAAGAAAAAAAACCCCACAAAACCCAGACAGTTGCCAAATAAAGTAAATATATAGCACAAATACTGTAAGGTGCTTTGCACCAGCAACCCGAGAAGGTGTTTAAAAAGTGTTACAAGGTTAAAAAGAAAAAAAAAAAAAAAGACAAACATCTTTGCTAATTTTTAGTCCTGTTGAACATTCATGGAATTGTTAATATGACTTATATAGACCCACACAGGTTTTATTTTTGTGTCTTTAAAATAAAAGTCCAAAATATTTAAATTTTATGGTCAAATATGCAGTCAACAGCTGCTACTTTTTTCTTTATATATTAAATTTCTCATATGTCTTTTATTGTTCTAATGAACCTAAGCTTGTGTGACCTCCAGTGCATATTAGACCATTCACTGTATGAAAGAAAACATGTTGGATAAAATTTGTGCGTTTTTAATAAAATTAGAAAATCTGATGTTTAGATAACTTGTGTTTCATTTGATGTTTGAAGCGATTTTTGGAAATTGGTTCTCTCGAGTGAAATAGCCCTGAGGAGGAACGATCCTCTCAGCAGCTAATCCTGGGCAGCTCTTGCCTCTGGTGCCGGTGCAGACAGCGGCCAGAGGCAGCTCCAGCCTTTCCTTCCATCTCCAGATTCAGTTGTGGAAGTCCAAATGCCCTGTTCCACAGCATTTTAAATTTTAAAATTCAGAAGTAATCAAATTATTCAATATCTTCAGTTATTCGTGCTCTGTGCTAAGAGAGAATGTTCGAAATGCTGATTTTATGCATAAACAAAAAGGTGTTGTAAATGTAAAATGCTCGCAAAGATGAGGTTTGCAGTTGATACAGTTTTAGTTAATTCTCCGAAGGTAATTTTACTTTTTTTTTTTTTTTTCCTAATCGGATGGCTTGGACACAGCATAACTTCAATGTCCTGAAAGTAATTTTAATCCTTTTTTCTTAGAGCTGAGGCAGAGCCAATGCGTGGCGGCGTTCGGTCACTCTGAAGTTCTCTGAAGGGCAGTGGGGGAGAATATTTTGCTTTGCCCTCGTACAGCCTCAATCTCTTGGAGAAAAATGAAACAAAAAAATGCTGGATTCTTGCAAAATGCCAGATTTTACCTTTTCATTCCCAGCCCTTCTTTCATTACCTCCCTTCCACTTGATGGACACACAGAATTTTGTGCTAACCCCCAGACTTGCCCGTCCCCAGTGACTCCATTCCTTCTCTCCTTGGACTGGGGGTGGGGAAAAGAGCCAGCTCCAAATGCTTTTGAGTTGTACGGTTTGTAATTTTCAAATGGTGATTTTTGATTTTGTTCACTACCTAATTTCTATGCCCAGCAGAGGGGCCACCTAGATGAAGCAATAGTTCACTTTAAACACAAAATGTCTTATATAATAACAATATAAAGGTAAAAAACTATCTGCAAGGGATCTGTTAGTGTTTCTAAAAAAAATAATTCACGCTTTATTAAATACAGGGGAGACTTCTTAAACTCCTGGACTCCGTGTCTAACTCATTTGTTTGTCTTTTGTGCTATTGCCACGTTTTGTTGCTCTGGTTTGCATTTATATAAGTGGAGGAATGGGTGATTTATTTATTTATTCCAAACTTATACTTATCTGGGAAAGATAAATATTGCTGTTTGTGCTGCTGGGCTGGGCTGCTGCTTTATTGTTGAACCAATGATTTTAAATGAGGATTTCACCAAATAGGTTTGTTTTGTAGGAAATGTTGAGCTTGCTTGCTTTCTCTCTCTCTCTCAGTCCTTGTACAGTTTATTCTGTGTTCATTTAGGCAGCAACACGGCTCAGTTTAGGGCCAGTGTTAGGCTTGGTTTAGGTCAGTTTAGGTTGTAAAAAGGAGAATTTGTCTTTTTGTGACGCTGCCGTCGCTTCCTTGGGGCTTTGCTGGGTCTGGGGGAGCCCGGGCGCCGTTCCCATGGCCGAGGCTGAGCCCCAGCCCGTGGAGATGGGAATTCTGCTCTCCTCAGAGCAGCTCGGTGCACCTGAAACCCTCATCCAGCAACAATTGCACGGGCAAAACTCCTTTGGAAAGCATTGTCACGTTGGGTTCCTGTAAGTCCTTGTTTACAAGAGCATTTCCACTGACCCCAGCGGCGTTCCCTGGTGGAGAGATGGAGGGAGGGATGGATGGAGGGATGGGAGGATGGATGGGAGGATGGGTGGATGGATGGATGGATGGATGGGAGGATGGATGGAGGGATGGGAGGATGGAAGGATGGATGGATGGGTGGGTTGGTGGATGGAGGGATGGGAGGGTGGATGGAGGGATGGATGGATGGATGGAGGGATGCAGGGCTGTGGGAGAAGGGCCTGCAGCGATCCTGGGATCCTGCACTGCCTCTGCCATGCACTGCCAGGCTCTGTGTCAGTTCAAGACCTCCCCACCAGCCCTTTGGGAAGTAACTGCTCTCTTTTGGTCTCTCCTGCTGCCGTGGGGTGAGCTCGGGGCCGTGTCCCAGCTCGGTGGCACTGCCCCTGCCCGGCCTGGCCGCTCCCCAGCCCTGGCACGGCCGGGGATGCCCGGGATGCTCTGCCATGGCAGGGCCAGGCTGAAGATCCGTGCCCAGCCCCTCAGATGCTCCAGGCCCCAGGAGAAGTGAGTATGTCCGAGCAGGGCTGCTCTGTGTCAGGGGAGGTTTGCAGCTTGATCGAAGTCTGTAAATGCCCTGAGTTTCCAGAGCCCAAATGTCCCACACTGGCCCCACCGAGGCTCCTCTGTGCCCACCCCTTCCCTCCCCAGGCCCTGCTGGGATCTGTTTGCTTGGGGATGGAAAGGGATTTGGGAAGATGTGTAACCCAGGAGTAAGGATGTACTTAAATGATGATTTGTAGTCAAATGGTTTGTAATATTTTAATGTCTGTACCCAGGTGCTGAGCGATGGGTACACGATACAAATTGATAACTAAATATCATTTTAAAATATCAGTGGTGATTAACATATTTTTTCCATCTTGGGAAGTGGCAGACATTGCAGTGTTCTCTCAGGAATGGTTCCATTTTCTATAGTCTGGATTTTTATCTTGAATAACTGTGTCGTCTTTAAGCTTTGCATGTTCTTACGATATGAAATTGTAAGCATTTGCAATCCCCCTTTCTGTTCCTATCCCTAACAGATAAATTCACATCTACTAAGTTATACAATTGATACAAATCCTTCTATGCTGGTGAGCTGGGAACAAGGAATTGTGATGCTGGAGCAGGTTCTGGGAGGTCTTTTCTTTGTCTCTGCCATGGTACTGGAGTGCTCAGCATTCCTCATGCCAACAGAACACCCATGAAGCTATAAATGAAATTAGTGGGTCTATTAAAATATATTTTGATTATAAACCTGGGATTTGTTGATAGCACTCGTGGTGGTTTAGCTACAGAGCACGGGCTTGTGCTTGGAAAATAGAGTTTGATGTGAGAGTTGTTCATTCATTAAATGCAGAATTGAAACACAGGGGCTGGAGAGGAAATGTGGCCTTGTGGTGAGGTGGCCTCCAAATTCCTAATTCCATGTCCCTGGGGTTGCTGGAGCCGTGGCTGGGGGTGTTCTTGGGGTGTTTTTAGGGTGCTGCAGGGCTGTTCCCGTTGGCACACGGGCTCACCGTTGGTGGTTTTTTGGCATCTTGTGGTTTTGTTGGGACACGGGTGGGACCGAGCTCTCTTACAGCTGCTGCTCCGGGATGTCACCAAACCCAGGGCCAGCTCTGCCTCGCTGCCATGTGGGCACTGCCACAGTCTGGAAAAATCTAAGAATTAGGGGCGATTTTGCTGCTTGGTTTTCCTCCAAGCTGCCCTCCTGAGGAAGCTGGCCCTGCTCAGGATGCCAGGGGCTGAGCGAGGAGATCCCTGGCCCAGCTGGGCAGGGCAGGGCTGCGCCTGTCCCGGCTGCCTGGGCAGGGTGAGAACGGGGCACAGCGCAGCCCCGGGCTGGAAAACCTGCCCTGGCTGCCCCAGAGCCCGAGGCAGGGCAATTCCCGGGGCTCTGGGGGATTTCTGGGAGTGAAGCCCGCGGGAGAGCTGCCTCACACACTTCCCTGGTGCCTGGCCGTGTGCAGGGCTGTGCGCAGGAGAGCACACGTGTGGTTTGCTTGAAAATCAGACATTTTGCTCCTTCTAAAGCCACTTTTCGTCTAGTTTTTAAATTGCCTTTGGGTGGCCTTTAAAATTCTTATCTGCTGTAAGGATCTTGGGGCTGTGCATCTCTTCAGACACACTGTGTTCCTTCTATTTTTCAATGTAGGGACCATTAAGGGTTGATAAAATCTTTAAAGCAATTGTGCTTTTTGAATGAGGGATGGGTTAGGAATAGCAGAAGTACTCAAGTAAATAAAAGCACAGGGAAAAAAAAACTTAATAAATATTTATGAGGAGAGGTTTTTTATGTACATAATCTAAATTTTATGTAATTTGTTTTAGTGGAAGGGGTTTGCTTGTGTTCTTTTCTGCTTCTTCCCAGTTCTTTTCACTTCTTTTTTCTCTCATTTTCACGGCTAAATTGCGTTGCTGGTTTAAAAAGAAAATTTTGACTGAACTAGCATGACTGAAATGATAGAGGTCAGTTTGGAAAAGGACATTTGCTCGCCCAAGCATTGGCAAGATCAGCCCCAGCTTCTGGCTATTTTTGGCCAGCACGAGGCCCTCGTATATGGGTCAAATGTCGCTGTTGATGAAGTAAGTCAATTAAATTCAGCAGCGGTGACTCCGGGGCGGGTGATTCCCGTGGATGTGCTGGGAATGCCGTGGGGATGGGCTCCTGCACCCCCGTGGGCCCTCGCTGGCAGTGCCCCAGAGGCTCCACGTTTCCACCCCGGCCCATTCCTGTGCTCCGGTGAAGGAATGGCTCTGAAAGATGGATTCATATTAACAACCTGTAATTATACAGACACGTATAATTACATGTGCAGCCCTTCCCTGCCAAAGCTTCCATCTCATCTGACGATTTCCCAAAAGCTGACGAGCTCCACGGACACGGCAGCGAGAGATGCTGAGTGGGAGAAACTGGAAGCCGTTTTTACAGCCCAGCCTGTTCCACGTTCCCTTGTTTATCTGCTCTGTGTTTGGGCTGCTATTCCCATTCTAGCAAACAGGCATGTGAATAAAAAAGTAAAATTAAGGGGGAAAATGCCAAAGAAATTATGTCAGTGAGGTTGATGTAGTTTCTAAACAGGCCAAGGGTTTCTCTGAACCGACCGTGAGGCATGAAAAGCCTTTCATGAGCATCTCAAATGAAAATGTATCGATACAGTTTTGGTACAAATATTTCCCTGCTCTGTTCTGAGTCCTAGGCACGGCAGCATGGTTGGAGGGCATGTGAACCAGAAATTAAAACCCAGCCCTGGAGTCTGATTTAATTACCCTGCTAAGTGAAAGGCAGAGGAGAGAGAATAAACAGCGGCAAAGGCGACTCTGTGGGTGAAATATTTTAACAGTCCCCGACTTCCATAGGCTGCAGTTGCTGTTTGATGTGGCTTTGTGTTGACTGCATCTCCTCCTGAAGAACTGTGAATTGCCAGGTGCTGTGGCTGGGGTGAGCTGTGGTGAGGGGTCCCCCACACCTGAGCAGGAGTTTTGTTCTGCACGGCTGGGAGTGATGGATGTGGCACGGACGAGGAGCGGGCGAGCTCTGCCAGGAGCCCTGGGTTTGCAGCTGGGACGTGGACGGGAATGCATTGCTGCCTTTGGGATTTATATGGAGCAATTGTCCCATTAGTCTCAGTGGGTGAAACCCTGATCTCGGTGGCCTGAGCATCAAAACCGCTGCGACTTCAAGGAGCTCATTTTTTACTCCAAAGGACTAATGCGACTCACTTGTGTTTTTTATTAATTCTACTGGGTCTGTTTTATTTAACCATCACTAAAAGCCTCTCTCCCTTCATTAACAGGGCAATTCATTATTTGTGAGGGTAGAGAACGTCCCTTTTTCACTCTAAGAGTGCAGAGGTTGGAAAATGCAATTATGCAGGGGAGTCTTGGCACTAGTTCTTTGGTTGTGTGAGTGGTTAGTTACTCAGAAGTAACTGCACAGGTAAGCACTTGTTCCTGCTACTTAATTTTCCACGTATTTATTTCTCCAGGATCCTCCCTTTGTTTATGGTGGCATCTGGGAACAAAATACCAACAAACTCAAAGGGGAAAAAAAAGGAAAACTTAGAAGCAAAGCTAGGGAGGATACACTGTGCATGTGTCCTGATTTATAAGTTTCCTGGTTTTTTTTCCAAACCATGTATTTGCAAATAAATAAATAAACAAATAAAAATCAGTGTTTAATTTCTCATTGCTGGAGCAGGGGTAATCCCCCACCACCCATTAGGCAGAGCATCAGAGCCATCCATCCTGCCGTGCTAAAATAAATACAAACTACAAAACCGACTTGGGAGTTTATGCTGTTGAGTATTTTGAAGCTTGGGCAGGGGGAGGGAGGTTTGCTGTGAAAATGTGCGTTTTCAGCAGACGTTTGGTTTTCCATAAATCGAGCTTTAGTTTATCATCAAGGTAGCCAGTGTCAGGCGGGGAGGGTCCCGGCGGGGCTGGGAAGGGGAGGGCGATGCTCGGGTTTTTCCAGCCGGCTCCCTCTCGGTGCCTGCCGGGTTTCTCCCTGCTGGAGGCGATGGGAATTCCTGATATTCCTCTGCCCTCTGTAGGAGAAGCGCCCGCATGAGCCGAGCGGTGGGATGGAGCCGGCTGCATCCCGGCTCCCAGCACCAGTCACCTCCTGCTCGGTTCTGCGGCATCAAAGGCACCTCGGGCGCAGGAGGACAAGAAGGGGATGAGCATCAGCGTGCTCAGGTTCAGGGCGGGCTGCTGGAACCTCCGAAATCCCAGTGCTGGGTGAGGAAAGCCCAAATCTGGAGCTCATTGCGGGCTCTGAGGATCTGCAGCTCGGATCGGAGAGGCTGAGCGGGGCCCAGGCTCCTTTGGAACAAAATTCGTGCCAGCCTCGACTGGTGTTCCCCAGTTCCAGGCAATCCCTTGGGCTTGGGGCCACCTTAGGACCAAAGAAAGGGAACGGGAGAGGCTGGAGAGGGCAAAGCCAGAGAACCTGTCCCTGCTAAGGCTCTCTGCAGGTCACGTCTGTGCTGCCTGCCTGCTGCTCCTGGGCCAGAGCGTGACCCCAGGAGCCCAAATTCCCGAATTCCCATGGCTGCTGTAACTCGGGTGTAACTCAGGTGTAACTTGGGTGTAACTCAGGCGTAACTCTGGTGTAAGGATCTATCCGTGTGCAAGGCCTGAACTGAGAACCCAGCTCTGGACCTCGCCGCTGTGAGAGGGACTCCAGCAGAGGCCACAGAATATTGAACACAGGAAGGGAAGAGAATGAACTCGGTTCTGCGCAGCTGGGGAGGCAGAGGAAGCTGAGGGTGATTTAAAGCGGCAGTTGTCACGTTGTGCATTACCCATGGCACTCGGCTGCCGTGCTGCCGGTACCGGCACCGAGAGCCGGCCCCACAGCCCTGCTGCCCACAAGGGCTGCGAGCGCCGGTAACGGCGGCTCGGCGGCTCCCGCTGGGTCACGCTGTGGCCCTGGCATCGATCCCAGCTGGATTTCGGCTGGATTCTGGGTTCATTCCCGGTTGGGTTCCTGTTGGATCCTGGACTCATTCCTGGATGGATCCCAGGTTATTTCCTGGTTGTATCCTGGGTTCGTTCCCAGTTGGATCTTGGGCTCGTTCCGGGATAGATCCCAGGCTCATTCCTGGATGGATCCTGGGTTCATTCCCAGTTGGATCTCGGGCTCATTCCCGGATGGATCCCAGGTTAATTCTCGGATGGATTCC